CAATTTTCTGTGCTCTCTCCAGTAAACATCTGCAACCTGACCCGATTCGATGATTCCATAGTATTCGGGTTCAGTTTCGTTGGATTGACCTCGTATTTTACATTTTAACAGTACTATTATCGAAGTTTTTCTTGATAATGACAAATATCTTGTCGAAACGTCGAATAAATAAATAAAAAGTTCTTTTGTAATAAAATGCGGTTTAAAGTAGTTGCTCTACAATTCTAAATTTATTGTCCTTAAATTGTAAATATATATTGTTTATATATTCCTGTCCGTTTTCGTCGTTCGTGATTCTAAGAAAAACTTTTGAGTGTCGAACTTGATGTGCGTAGGAAAAATCAGATTCAGATCTCATGAACTTTGACTTACTTAGTAAATCTCATTTTGATCCAGGACCTACCACTCGAATAAAAAGTGTTATCGCTGGATATGATGTACGCGTGAAGAGTGATCTTTTAGTTTTTAAAGAAAGGTAAAACTTTAAGAGAAGAAAAGTATACATGAGGCTAAAAATAGTCAGGAATCAGAAACTCGATCTTTAATCTTGACATGCGTTTCGAAAAGTGTCCTTCTCTAATTGTACCTTCAAAAAAACAAGTCAGATATTTTATAATGAATAAATACAAAGCAAGTTGTCAATACTTTCACAGTATCATTAATATCAAGATAATATATGTTGAATTTTGAAGAGCGGCATGATTATATACCAAGGACAGAAAATAAAAATAAAACTAGATTGCAATTGTGTCACGCACAAGTTGCGATGTCGACAGAAACTGCCAGAACCTACATGTACGCAGGCTCTTTACGAGAATAACTTAACAATGTTAACAATGTAACAAGGAGCAATAAATATTTTATAATAAGATACAGCAGCTGAAAATCGACCATCAGCTGCTGTGTGAAGTGAATACTCAAAAGTTTTTCTTATATTATGGCTTGCTGCATATTTTTAGCCCTTAGAATTCATCATTCATTCATTTACCTATCGGCACCGCGGTACGAACACAGTACGTTTACAGTACGTGACGAACAATGTAACCACTAAGCCATGTAGAACTACCATTTTTATAAAATGTAACTCAATTACGCAAAAGTGTATTTGTATCTGCACAAACGAGTTTTAAAAGATATATTAAATAGTTTCACGAATTCCCTGAACCTTCCTTGAGCAAGAACGAATATATTTTCTTTTTGTTCAGTTGGACATATTACTCCCGAAAAAGCAACAAAACTAATATCCTTATTGGGGAACGGTCAGTCTCACGAAAAAGTATCGGTCCGAGCCCTCGCCAATGTAATAAAAAGAAAAAAGCAGTAGTTGGGATTATGATGCCAATGTATTATTAACACTAGCAATGGTAATCAGTGAAAAATATCAGTCCGAACATGAACCGGTAAAACCGATATACAACACATATAATAAGTCTTAAAGCGAAGAGATTGTAGAAACGTTCTTTATGTTCTATGATAAATAGTAAATACCGTCTAATATGTGAATGACAGCATGGCTTACGAGGGGACCGCCTCAACTAACTCCCGAGTTACGCCTCTGTATTATCACTAGAAGTAGATCTCGATGAGACTAAGAAAAGTCTAAAATGATTCGTGCTCATGGCCTTTCGTTTTCGAGATAGGATCGACTTTATGTCGAAAAAATGCGATGTTTTTCACTAGTACGTAATATAGAACGTCACCATGAAGTTATCACAAGTCCAATCTAGGGGGTGGACCGTTACTCCCGTTACTCCGGTAATGGTAACGGTTTTGCGTTACCGTTACTAGTAAAGGTAACGCTTGAAGCGTTACTTTTACTAGTAACGGGTTACGTGTCCACGTGCCAGGTCAAAATTTTTTTACAGTCAAACCGTCACCGTTACAAGTAACGGCCGTTACTTGTTATCGGTAACGCTTGAGTCGTTACCGTTACAGTAACGGTAATTGGTAACGGTCCACCCCCTCATGAGTCTTTATAAAATGATAATGTATTAATGATGCTACTAGGAAAATGATAGTAGTTCTTTTGTATTGATGCGTAGGTACGACACCATTGCACAAATCAGTGGAACCTGTAAAATAAGCAACATTTTACATTAATTCTAAATTTATTACAAAAACGTTATAGTTTTATCTCTCTTACAACACCATGTGCTCGATCCGAAAATATTGACATTCCCACGTGTCCACTTCTGATATCAATAACAATACAACTGTGTTAATACGAATGAATTTTCGAGAAGATCCGAGTTTCTTATTTGAATCCAACTTTATTTTAATATCGGTAGTGGAAACTAGTATTGTATCGATGCCTTGTGACAGAATGTCTAATATTCCTTATGAATGATAATTAATTAATTATCAATTTCCTTATAAATGTTCAGATTTCCAACTCTACTATAGAATGAATAATTGAATTTTTATCGTAAAATATGGCATAGGGCTTTTAGAGTGCATGTTAAACTAATAACATGAAAATTATTGTAAAAATGTCTCACTAGATTCTTTGCTCAAATTAAGAAGTAAAAATGAGAATCCAACATTTAGAACAGTCGTTTTGTTTCTCTTATGTGCTTCGTTTTAATCATTACACCGTAGCAATTGCTGATAAGAAAAATTTGTTTTATTAAGCCAAAACAAAGGTTAATGAATTTCAAGTTCGGTTTGCATGATCAGTTACCAGAAGCAAAAGGTTAAAATGTCTTTAATCAAATTTTTTTCTGTCATTTTATTTGTCAGCTCTCTCTGTCGTATTACTACATAATAGTATAACAACCCAGGTCCATCGACGAAATACTATAGTATACGGTTATGAATCTTTGATCTGGGAAAACAAACAGAAAAAGTACTTCTACAACCTCCATGCGCTAAAAAGAAGTCAACGATCTTCTTTGTCACTACTCACAAAGAAGTCCGGCTAACAGTTCTACTAAACGATATACTTTCTCATTGAGATGTTTAAAACATTAAAGAGAATTAATTTTCTTTGTATAAAACCAAACTTTCAAAAAACGGGCTTATGAAATGCTTATGATGATCTTTATATAGACTGGGAATCTGATTTTTACTTCTTAATTTGAGCAAAAAATCTAGTGAGACTTTTTTACAATAATTTTCATGTTATTAGTTTAACATGCACTCTAAAAGCTCTATGCCATATTTTACGATAAAAATTCAATTATTCATTCTATAGTAGAGTTGGAAATCTGAACATTTGTGATATTACTAGATTACTAGAACAATCAATTGTAAAAAATATTTCAGCCCTTAATCTGCTGTTTGAACTGAAATACGAAAACTTTAGCGTCACCGTATGCTCTTCTAAACAAACAAAAACATTTCTACCTGCTGAAGAAAATGAAAGAGACACCAGCTCTATTTTAGGTTTTTCTTTAAAACAATATTCTCTATCGACAGATATAATTTAATTGAAAACAGAAGTGGACACGTAGGAATGTTCACGCATTCATAAGGAATATTAGACATTCTGTCACAAGGCATCGATACAATACTAGTTTCCACTACCGATATTAAAATAAAGTTGGATTCAAATAAGAAACTCGGATCTTCTCGAAAATTCATTCGTATTAACACAGTTGTATTGTTATTGATATCAGAAGTGGACACGTGGGAATGTTCACGCATTAATAAGGAATATTAGACACCCAGGTCGACGAAAATTGGCATTTAATTGTCGATTAACAGCCTGCTAACTGTATGCCAAAAAATGGTCTGTTAATTGTGTAAAAATCGAATGAAAATTGGCATTTAGCAGCCATTATAATGACGTTTTTTTGACTTTGAAATAACAGTGAAAATAATGCCAGATTATAGTCAATGTCCGAAAAAATGTCATTTTACGGACACCATTAAATGGTATTATCGTCCATTTATTAGACCGCGTTAACTAATGCCAAATAAATGTGCCTATAACATGTCCGTTTTGAGGCAGTTTTGTCTCCATTTCAAAATGGCAAAAAACTGATCATAAATTGACATTTAACAGACAGTTTATAGTCACTAAGTCATTCACCGTTTTATTCTGCCATCATAACTGGTATAAAATGACTCTGATTTTCCTAAAATAATTTAGAGGTTTTCTCTTCTTCAATTATATGAGTCATAGAAACTTGCCTCGAAGAAGTGATCTGTGCTTCTTGGGTCGGTGCAGGTGATAGTACCTTATGTTTCAGAAGATATATTTTACACATTTTCTAACGATCTAAAAAACTGATATTTAAAATGCAAAAAAATGTGATCAGCAGGGTTACTGGTAGCAGTTAAATGCCTGTCATTTGACCGTTTTTTGACATTTAAAAAAATGCGAAATAAATGCATTTAAACGTTCCCAGTTATAATGGCGTAAAAACTGGGTCAAACGTCCTAAAAATTTCATTTAAACGTTTATTAATAGCGTATTAAATGGCATTAATTGACAAATTAATGCCAACACCGTTTTCGACGTCCTGGGCATTCTGTCACAAGGCATCGATACAATACTAATAGGACTACTAATACTTTTCTCAATTAATTTTTAATGAAGAAAAACATAGTCACTGATAAAACATTTTTAAATGAACGAAATCTTCATTTTTTTTCGATAAAGTCTTGATTTATATAGCTGAAGACTTCTTGTCTATCAGAAATGTTTGGCTAACAGAGGCCAGCTGATAAGATACGTCCACAGTTCAGAACTTCAACAGTAAAATCGTTGCCGTTCCTATTTGGGTATTAGCCAAATCGACGAATGGCTACACCCTTATATGGATTTGATCGCGCTGAGTGTTGAACCAGGAACGTTAGATCAAGGATGTTACTTATTTCAGAGCCTTTAGTAAAATGATCGCAACTCTGTCAAAAACCAGTGTAAAGAACTATTATTACTACTTTATTTTATTGATTATGAATTCTCAAATGCGAAAGTAATTAAAAATAACTTTTAGTACGAAAAACAAAATCTTTCAATATCCGCATTTTTCAATACTTATCACCGAAATAAATTAATTTACAAGATTTTCATAAATAAATGTTATGAAAAAGATGCCAGTTAATACGAATAAGGGTATTTGCTTCTGAATACTGTTTCCACCATTGCACAAGTCGGTACTGCAACAATAAATACCACTTCCAAATATAGCCGTGGTAGTACAAGACGATGTAGAATCCTTGACCACAAGACTACCAGTAACAGTTTTCTAAAAGTAAATTTGCATGACACTGATGAGTAAACACAATAGCGTCATATGTCACATACACGGCAGTAATCCGATGATGAACCCGTGGCTACTGGAGTAGCAACACTTGGATTAAAACTATCACCACAAGGATTGCATGAATAACAAGTGTTCGCCGTATCAGTCGGTCCAAAAACTGTAATATAAAATAGGAAACATATCTAAATAATAGTTTCTGTTATTTAGTTTAATAGAAATCCATCAACATACGCAGTGTGTGAGCTAAATCGAAAAATGTTAGTCACCAAAACATCATTCTGAGAGTTTCCCGTTCAATTTTATAGACGTTCTATCTGAAAACTTGACTAACAAGTATAGCTAACGTGGGCTTCTAATCTGTAGATAAATCTCTATAGTTTCGCTTAAAAATTGATCAGATGAAAGTTACTATTTTGTACGCTTACCAACAAGTACGGTTAATGCAAAAAATATTAGTTTAAAACTCATAATGGTACTACTTCAAGAACAAATGGTTGTTTCGGTATTGTAATAAAAGGTTGAAATAATGATAAAAATTTAGGTTAGTTAGTTTAAACTGTATTTTTTTAAATTTTATATTTATTAAAAATTTATCTGTACAATAAATATAATGTCCTTGATTCGTTTATGTCTATATTGATATAAAGTAAACTCAATAAGAACAAATTTACTCCAAATGTTGTAAGTGATTCAATTTAAAAAAATGTTATTAGTCTATTAAATGATTGCCTATATAAATATTGTATAACAACAATAGAGCATACGAAGAATGCGCAAATTAACTTTTGATTAAAAGTGATGTACAGACAAATAAAAAACATGTATAATAATATACAATCAAGTCGAACAGTTTTAATTATTTGTCGTTTAGCATGCAGAATTGTTTGGGATTAATCTCAACATTTGACTCTCGAATAGCACCAATATCGGCTACCTTTGTTTAATAAACGGTAATATACAGCAGGTATTCTATTGTTTTTTATACTTATTTGCGGTCAAATATACAGGATATTTCAGTTGAATAGACTACTAATGTACCTTTTATTCAATAATTTTTAATATCCTTGTTTGTTCCAAACTTAGTTTTAAAAAATCCTTCGATTTTTATTGAGTTTTTTTAATCTTCTACACCAAATTAAAATTAACGGAAGAAAAGAAACATTAGGTAAACGAAATTTAAAAAGGAACGACTGTTAAGAAGAACAAAATAAAAAATCATCTAGAGTTTTGTTTTCTTGAAAGAGTAAAGACCGGTACATAATCATTCTGGCACAAGGAAAAAACGAATAAGTAACAACAATAGAAATAACAACAATAACAAAAAAAAGAGAAACGATTCTTCATTCTATCAAAACAATTCTTTTAACGATCATAAAAAAACCATGAACACCAGAAACAAATTGAATTGCAGCTAACATGACTAAATTACTTTTCTTTTCACATCACACTATCTACTGTTTCTTTACTTTTCCTTTGTACAAAAGTTAGGCACGAACTTGTCTATTTGTTTCCAGTTGAAAATAAAAAAACGACAGCTGTTGAGATCGTGATACTAAATAAATAATTACTGTAAATATGGTTAATGAAAAATGCAATAAACTTGAAAATTTTACTTCAATGAATAAAATGCTCGGCTTAGTCTTACTCAATAAAAATCTGATGAATGAAATTGAAACTAATGCTTTTCTCCAACAGATTTTTGCATGAAGAATTTTCTGTAGACTTCCTCCAAGAAATACAACCAAGCTTTTCATCAAGAATGTTGCTTTATGCTCTGTCATTCGTCATGTGACCCGTTCAGAGATTACAACTTCATCACATTTTGTTCAATTTGAACGTGGTCACATTTGACAAAAATTTTACTTCGACTCTCTTCTCACCAGAGACTTTATCGAATTCAAATTATTGTATACTCCAAATAGTGGAATTTAACACATTCCAATTCAACATCACAAAATCTCACTTTCGGTTTTGACTAAATGTTCTCATCAATGCCCACCGTCGCTTGAATCTCTTACATCATATAATAGTTTTGGACTATGCTCATCACCCAACTAGTTGCAGTCTCTTGGACTAGACGGCGGAGCATCGATATCAATGTCTCCTAATCACAAGTTCTGAGCGAAGGGTGTGTTAACAACTCCATCAGAATGCAGTGACGACTATCAAATTTCAACAGTTGATTGATCTCTCATTTGTGGATCCTCATGGCATTTTGTCACCAGTTATCAATGAAATGAGTATAAGTTAACATCGAAGCGTCGGTTTCCCGTCCGGTTCCGTCGGAGGAAGCATTGACTTTTCTGTTCGTGAGTGTTCTGCACAGTACACGAGCACAAAAATGTATGGTCAGATGTTTCCCATATGACTTCGCCACTCAAAAAATGTGTTTTACACTGAAGAGAACGATGTCGATAGACTCTTTCAAAGAGACTGAAATTAGTTCGGTGATCAGCACATCCTCTATGGTATATGTGCACAAAAGTTCAAGTCCAAAACAATTATGTTTTGACGGATTCAGATATCTGGATACTTTTGTGAAGTACCTAGTTATCTCCAGCATATTGAACATATTTTTAAAACGGTGGAAAAACATTAGTAGTTCTTCTTGTCATTTTTGAATGAAAAGGATACATTGTTGGTGAAAAATTCCGAAATATGTAAAATGATAATAGAATTAAACAAGCCAAATAGAAACAATTGTTATAAAATATTGAGAATGTTGTTGCTTCAAAATCGGCTACTTCATTCTTACGCATTAGGACCCTGAAAAGATAGAAGATAGAAACAAACTAGCAAATGAGACTAATCCTATGATTATTCGAAAAATACTAGGAGGACATTACTCTTTCAGTTAGTTTACATGTACAACAAATTTGCTCAACATTTCAATCATCTTATTAAGAATTTATAGATGTGATATGAACAAATGGATTATTTTGCAGTACTTACCGATCATCTTTCTCTTTTTTGTTTGCACTCTTATCATTGGCAAACAATCGACTTATTTCACGACCAACAGCCTCTTCACGTTTTTGTGCAATTCTATAAAGTACACAGCATCGTTATGGAAATCTTTTAAACGCTACTGAACGTGAGCCAGTTGCTTACTTATGTTTTAAAATAAACTTCATATTACTATATGCTTTATTCAGAAAAAATGTGCTTAGTGCTGTACCAATAATAAAATGGATGAAATAAGTACTAAATTCCATTTGATGAATACGCCAGAACAACCCTACTCGATCAAAAAGAAACAAATTGACTAAAGAAAAAAATAGAAGGAGAACTTACACAATGGTATAGCTGAAACAATTGCAGCATTGCCGAAAAACAGCGCCCACGATTTTGTTGTTACATTTCGACTAAAATCTTGTAATAATAGATCTTCATCATGTGAAGAGGTTCTATTTGACATTTTATCTTTGTTAGTTTTTCGTCAAATATACAAACTACACAAGTAATCTAAAATTAGCAAGTTCTCATTCATTTATAATCTGGTACACTACAAACAACACAAAATATCTATTCTTTATTAAATCAACATGGCATTTCAACAACATTATTTTTGATTTTGAGACCAAACGATTTCTTTAGAAGGAAATTATTAGTTTTCAAAGTTACTTAATTAAATGTGGAAACACTAAGTTTAAAAGATGCTAACTATAATCCCAGTTAAGAAACGCTCAGCTCATGAGATGGAGCAGTAATTTCGATCGCAAGGGATAAAAGTGTAGCAGCCCCTCCCTGACTTTTTGACTTTCGTCAGTATGCCCACTGTCACTTTTTTCTATGCAAAAAAATAGCCTGCCTAATTCTTTCTTCTGCCTCAGTACAAAAAAATTTTGAAACACTTGTAACCACAGAATATGCTGAAGACACAATACCTAATCTAGATAAAACAAAAAAATAAGAAAGGATATTAAACTTTGCTATATTCCTCGCTGATCGACGATTGATAAATGGAGTCCAAAATCATTCAACATTAGCAGTAATCAAACACGAATTACAAACTACGCAAGAAATACCGCCGAGCCCAATACGGGCACGAAAACAACAACTCACCAGATATTTTCAAACTCAAAACTTTGTAGATACTTCTCTTTCTTAAATAATCTTAGAAGTCAGATTAATATAACCATAAAAGATATCGTATTGACTGTTGACATCCTCTTGTACAGCAGCAAAGAGAGAGAGAGTTTTCAATAGCATTTTGATGCGATCATCACGAGTGCGAATAGATTGCACAGCTGAAACTTGCAGATAAGGCCAAACAAGATAAATATTAGCATAGATTGATTTTTGTACATACACTATATAGTTTGAGCATAAAGATGTACAAACCGTTCAATATGAACCATAATACAAACATAGAATACGCTCATTATACTTCCTCAGTGACGGCTCGCTAATCAAGATATTAATATTACAAACACAATAATAGAACTTGTTATTGAGTTAACTTAACTGCTATGGAAAAACACCTCAAACTCGTTTACAGAATAAAATAAACAAAGGAGGATTATCTTTAGCCAATTTCAAGTGATGAAGAGAAAGAAAGACCCTACTCTAACTAGAAAAACAAGGCTTCGATCAGTTCGGATAAGACTGATATGCTACGCCCAAACGCTGGCCGCATACACTGTCAAAAATTCAGTCGTATCATGTGTAATAAAAAGTCGTTTCAAGCGTCTGACTCATTCACTTCGAACTGTTTTTCTATTGGTTGTTAGTGTAGAGATTCAGACGGTTGAAACGACTGAGTCA